AACAAGGTGCAGGGCTGGATGAACACAGCAGGCCAAGCAGCATCATAGGAGCAGAGAGGCTGACGTTTCGGGCCTAGACCCTTCATCAGAAAAGGGGGAGGGGAAGGGGGTTTTGAAATAAATAGGGAGAGAGTGGGAGGCGGATAGAAGAGGGATAGAGGAGAGGATAGGTGGAGAGGAAACAAACAGGTCGAAGAGGCGGGGATGGGGCCAGGAAAGGTGAGTGTAGGTAGGGAGTTAGGAAGGGGATAGGTCAGTCCAGGGAGGACGGACAGGTCAAGGGGGCGGGATGAGGTTGGTCGGTAGGAGATGGAGGTGCGGCTTGAGGTGGGAGGAGGGGATAGGTGGGAGGAAGAACAGGTTAGGGAGGCAGGGACGAGTTGGACTGGTTTTGGGATGCGGTGGGGGGAGGGGAGATTTTGAAACTTGTGAAATCCCTCAGAACGTGCAGCCCTCCGCTCCCTCCGCTGCAATCCCAACCTCACCATAAAACCCGCAGACAAGGGAGGTGCAGTTGTAGTATGGCGCACTGACCTCTACATCGCCGAGGCCGGACGCCAACTCTCCGACACCTCCTCCTACCGCCCCCTTGATCATGACCCCACCCCTGAGCACCAAACCATCATCTCGCAAACCATCCACAACCTCATCACCTCAGGTGACCTCCCACCCACGGCCTCCAACCTCATCGTTCCCCAACCTCGCACTGCCCGCTTCTATCTCCTTCCCAAAACCCACAAACCTGAATGCCCTGGTCGACCCATTGTCTCCGCCTGCTCCTGCCCCACCGAACTGATCTCCAACTATCTCGACTCCATTTTCTCCCCCTTGGTCCAGGAACTCCCTACCTATGTCCGTGACACCACCCACGCCCTCCACCTCCTCCAGAACTTCCAATTCCCCGGTCCCCAACACCTCATCTTTACCATGGACGTCCAGTCCCTCTACACCTGCATTCCCCATGCAGATGGCCTTAAGGCCCTCCGCTTCTTCCTGTCCCGCAGGCCCGACCAGTCCCCCTCCACTGACACCCTCATCCGCTTAGCCGAACTCGTCCTCACACTCAACAACTTCTCTTTCAATTCCTCCCACTTCCTACAGACAAAGGGGGTAGCCATGGGTACCCGCATGGGCCCAAGCTACGCCTGCCTCTTTGTAGGTTACGTGGAACAATCCCTCTTCTGTACCTACACCGGCCCTAAACCCCACCTCTTCCTCCGTTACATTGATGACTGTATCGGCGCCGCCTCGTGCTCCCACGAGGAGCTCGAACAGTTCATCCACTTCACTAACACCTTCCACCCCAACCTTAAGTTTACCTGGACCATCTCTAACACCTCTCTCCCCTTCCTGGACCTCTCTGTCTCCATATCGGGCAACCACCTCGAAACCGATATTCATTTCAAGCCCACCGACTCCCACAGCTACCTAGAATACTCCTCCTCCCACCCACCTTCCTGCAAAAATGCTATCCCCTATTCCCAATTCCTTCGCCTCCGCCGCATCTGCTCCCAGGATGAGGCATTCCACTCCCGTACATCTCAGTTGTCCTCGTTTTTCAAGGACCGTAACTTCCCCTCCTCGGTGGTCGAGAACGCCCTCAACCGTGTCTCCCACATCTCCCGCACCTCATCCCTCACACCCCGTCCACGCAATAAAAACCAAAAAAGAATCCCCCTCGTCCTCACGTACCACCCCACCAACCTCCGGATCCAACGCATCATCCTCCGACACTTCCGCCATCTGCAATCCGACCCCACCACCAAAGACATCTTTCCCTCCCCACCTTTATCTGCTTTCCGGAGGGACAACTCTCTCCGTGACTCCCTTGTCCGCTCCACACTCCCCTCCAGCTCCACCACACCCGGCACTTTTCCCTGCAACCGCAGGAAGTGCTACACCTGCCCCCATACCTCCTCCCTCACCCCCATCCCAGGCCCCAAGAAGACTTTCCACATCAAGCAGATGTTCACCTGCACATCTGCCAATGTGGTATACTGCATCCGCTGTACCCGGTGTGGCTTCCTCTACATCGGGGAAACCAAGCGGAGACTCGGGGACCGCTTTGCAGAACACCTACGCTCGGTTCGCAATAAACAACTGCACCTCCCAGTCGCGAACCATTTCAACTCCCCCTCCCATTCCTCAGACGACATGTCCATCCTGGGCCTCCTGCAGTGCCACAACGATGCCACCCGAAGGTTGCAGGAACAGCAACTCATATTCCGCTTGGGAACCCTGCAGCCCAATGGTATCAATGTGGATTTCACAAGTTTCAAAATCTCCCCTCCCCCTACCGCATCCCAAAACCAGTCCAGCTCGTCCCTGCCTCCCTAACCTGTTCTTCCTCCCACCTATCCCCTCCTCCCACCTCAAGCTGCACCTCCATCTCCTACCGACCAACCTCAACCCGCCCCCTTGACCTGTCCGTCCTCCCTGGACTGACCTATCCCCTTCCTAACTCCCTACCTACACTCACCTTTACTGGCTCCATCCCTGCCTCTTTGACCTGTTTGTTTCCTCTCCACCTATCCTCTCCTCTATCCCTCTTCTATCCGCCTCCCACTCTCTCCCTATTTATTTCAAAACCCCCTTCCCCTCCCCCCTTACTCTATAATTACCTGCTTTCTCCCAACCTCCTTTTTAAAATACTGGCGTTTTATGGCTACCCTCAAATCCAGGAACTGTTCTAGACTTTATAGAATTTTGAAAGTTTACCACAAATGCAATTTTTGTAGGGTCACTTTCTTAAATACTCTGGGATGTAGGTTTTCTGGAGATTTAGATTGCATAACTTTGGAATGTTTTGAGATCTTAGGTGGAAGTTGCACACACAAAAACATAAATGATTTTGTATTGCATTAAAAGTGTTCAAGTTTGTCAAAGGTAGGGAAAATTTGCTTTCAAAATTCTAATAGTGCTTCTCCTTAGAATTCAATATTAATCTGCATAACACCACCAGGAACTGTCCCAATAGATTTCTTAGTTCTACTGTTTATTGTCTGATCAGGAAGCCCTGATTTTCAGATGAAACATTAATGAAAATGATTTACTGCTGTATTTCTCAACTACGTGTCTTGTATATATTGCTGTAATTTAGAAAAAAGGCACAGTCTCTGTCATATTCAACAAACAAATATTTGGAATCGAAGGGTATCTAAGGGTTATTGGACCCAAAACATTAACTTCAATTTCTCTCCGCAGATGCTGCCAGATCTGCTCAGCTTTTCCAGCAATTTCTGTTTTGGTTTTGGAAACAAATATTTGCATTGTATTCACAAAATATCCGGCCTAATATAAACATAGTTGGCCTTGTAACACCATTAAGGAACCCAGTACGTTGCCACAGAGAAATGAGACCAAAAAAAATCTCAACACAAAAGTATTTCCTCCTAGTCTAAATTAAATTGGACTCTTGGGTTTCTTAGTCTAGTAATAAAGTAGACATTACACTCACTGAAAAAGGACCACACACTCATCCTGCTGTAAGTTAATATGAAGACATAATACCTTTTTGTGCATGCACCATGCAATAGACATTGGAAGGAAATGCACCAACAATCTTTGAACATATTAAAAAAAATACAAAAAACAATCACATTTTTAAAAGAATTCTACAAGTAGTTAACTAAAATCATCCATTTTCCAATAGGATTCTGAAGTTGAATTGAGCAAGTTTGAATACCACCACGCTTTGTCTTGACAACAGTCACACATAGGTCTGCCTTCTCCTCCACCACCTATACTATGCAGATGCCAGATTCAGTCATGTTACTGTGAAGAGCAGTTGTATAAGTCATTTGTATTTCTGCTAGTGATCTGGTTTAGCGGAGATTTGCTGTCATGGAACTGTGGTATAATGGTTCTGCAGAAAAAGGATTTGTGACTGAGTAAAAAAAGTTGGTCTGCGGTGTGTTGATATCAAATTTATGGAAGTATGATTGGCAAATCACCAGTTGTAGAAGTTATATTAGTGGCATCCCCTTAATTCAATCACAAGGATTTTAATTGTCAGCTTCAGTCATTATCATATCCTCAGTCTAATATATATATAGCGTGATTATTTAGATTCCTGAAAATTTAGATATTGTTTTGAGGGAGGAGCTAAGACATGACAAAAATATGCTGTGATTTTCTTGAGTAAGGATTAATACTTATTTTTACTGTTAGCTAACTTATTTAAGTCCATGACTCTGCAGAGTATACACAGGTAGTCTCTGGGTTGTAAACAGGTTCTGTACTGGAGTCTGTTTGCAAATTGATTTGTACGCAAGTTATAACACAATGCAGGACAATATCAAATAATTGTTTGTAAGTACAGGAATGTCTGTCTGTTGGAACTTTAAAAATACACCCCTGCATGGGATTGTGTTCGTAAGTACAAGTGTTTGTTAAGTTGAACACTTGCAAATCAGCGATACCCTGTGTATAAGGGGAAATAGTTCAATCCTTTGGGTTGACTGGAATTTTAATTTAGCCCATGTGCAGGAAGTATATGGGAACATCTCATAGGACATCAAGCCAATCAGCTCACAAGTTTCGAAAGACCACAGAAAGAAAAGAATTCTGCACACACAACTTTTGTTTTAAATTATGGACTTACATTTAAATATGAGAAATTATGTCTACTGTGAATATGTAAATATCACTAGTATAGTATGTTTCTGTCCAGTAAATTTGTTAATAAGAGTCTCTGTGGTGATGCTCTGTCAGCTTTCTTTGATGAGATTTGTAGGGTCAGGATAGACTCAGTAACTAAAGCAACTTTCTGAAAGTTTGACTTTGTTTGACTTCCTGAGCATGCTTTCCTAGATCAAGAAACTTGAGATAAATAAAATTCAGCAACAAAACCATTGCAAATAAGAAACATAGACAAGACCCAAAAATGTAATACTTCACTGTAATGATATTTGTTTATTTCATATTTAAAATGTATTACATTTGGCTCCCAACACTGATTTTAAATTTTGAAGCTGCAAGAGCTATTACACAATTACTATTTGAATGACTAAGATATGGTCTTCCAGCCAAATTGTAAAGAACATAGTTCTATTGTATTTCTGCAGTTGAAATCTGGCAGCAATCTGGAAATGAGCAAGTTGCAAGGATTGAAGATTGATCATTCATATTCAGTGACAAAAGTGCAGAAAGTTCGACTGGGCAACACAGCAGATAAACTGTCCATGATCAAATTGAGGAACCCTTGGGGTAAAGGCGAGTGGTTGGGCCCATGGAGTGATAAGTAAGTAATAATCTAGTGCAGATCCATGAATGAAATATAACAGCGGAAGCATTTGTGCATTGAGCTTTCTTTGTGCAAGTTGCAAAAGATCATTTCACCTCACACCTTCTCTTGGATTAATTTTCTCTCCTTCAAATCAATGTGCAGAAATTTAACAAACCATGTATAAAGACAACTCTTCTGGTGTTTAAACCAAAATCACTTCACCACAATACAAATAGGAAACAACGATATAACAAAGTGTTGAGAGATCAGACCCAGAGAAAAAAATCCATTGCTTGTCTTTATGAAATTAACAACCAAATCTAATGAAAATCATCTGACTATAAATACATGAATCACTATCCTTTTGGACAAGACGGTACCATCAACTACATTGTTACCCCCATAGTCTACCTCACATAAATCACCACCCCTCTCTTCATAGTTTCATTTGAAATAGCCAGCCATTGTTTGGCTTTTCCTATCAGGTCTGTTTGGTCACTGCTGGAATATATATCCCAGTGCTGCACATTTGGTCTCATCAATATCTTCATTTAAATGCCACTCTTTGTGACAGCACCCAGAAAACTAGTCAACTCCCATCGCCACTCTGATAAAAGATCACATTATCTTGCTTGCTTCTCTGTGATCCTCATGATAATACCACCCTCTCCAAGTACCTGCTTGAAACCTGGAAACTTTCACCAGCAAAACTGATGCTATCACACTTCTGCTTCAGAAAATTAGCCCGAAATCCATCAACATCCCTAACTCAGGAAAGGAAAGTTGTGCAGAATCATGCTGAATGTGTTCAGACCTGACCCTTGTTTCCTCTTCTACATCCATTCCATCAACAGAATGTTTTATTTCACCTTCATGCCATCATTCAATTTCTTCCTTACATCACCCTTCTGTTGAAAAATACCTATAAGCTAATCAAACTTTCACCATAGTATTTCATTGTGGGTCTAGTCAATCACTCCACATCTACTTCCTCTAATGCCCTCAATCTAGTAAAATATTTGCTTTTTCACTATCCGGGCTATTTTCCTTGACATAACACTCACCTTTACTCCCTCAACTCCCAGCAAAGACCTGAACATATCAGGCACACGACTGGTTTAACTGTCCATTGTCAAATCTGGCGGAAATGTGTAAGGTGCTTCAGACCTCATTTCCTCTAACCAATTATTCCCCACTCTTGGATTTTCTTTTCTGTATTAAGAAAGTCACATAAATTGTTTTTATTACGTCAAGTGTGGTTTCCTCAGAACACTCTGTATCAATCTCTACAAGGTAAAGTATAATTTATTCAATCTTTCCATTTCAAGTCCTGCTACCACACCACCCCCCCCCCCCCCCCCCCGCCCCCCCCCCCCCCCCCCGCATCATCATAACCTATACCAGAGAATATGGACTTAAATATATTTGTCTTGCCTTCATTTCCCTCCATCCCCATAATCTAATCTAATTCAGCAATCTCCCCTTCTGCATCTCTGCACACACCTTCCACTTTTGTAGCATTGGCCTAATTTTTGTTCCCTAATTAATTGCTTCACCAAACATGACCACTGTTTTCAGTTACTATGCTTCTTCTCTCTAGAACTCCTACATGTAGCAACTTTGCCTTGTCATCTCCCCACTGCTTTCAGAAGGTATATATACAAGTTTTAGGAGCATTCCATGATCCTTTTTCTTTTCTGGATTAACATTTGTCTATATTCTGTGAAATGTTAGAATCTTTCTACAGATTAGCAGGGCCAGAGAAGTTGTTCAGTCATCAAATTTTGATGAAACTGTAAGATGATGTGAGCAGTAGCCCTGATAGAAAATTTAATGCCATCAAAATTCATAAACACTTTCTTTTTTCTAGTTCAAAGGAGTGGCGGAAGATTAGCAAAAAGGAGCGTAAAAAAATTGGTACCGGCATTAAGAATGATGGAGAATTCTGGTGAGACAAATCACGGTTTAGATATTGGCCTTGGGATCAAATAACCATACAAATCCAAAACTGTAAAATTGTCTCTTTAAACAACGTCTTTTTTTTAAACTGTTTCCAGTACTATCCAATGCAAAACAGGTTTGTGCTAATGGACTCCTGTTCACTGGGTTTGGGACTGGCTATACCTATAGTATTCATAACCTTTATCAGCCTTCTTAAAGGTAGAGCTGTCAACTTGAAAATCTTGGTTTTTATTTGAAGATGGTCCCCAAAGAAGAGATAGAAATGGGAACCAGCATGAAAGAAGAAAACATCATTCTATGTTGCCTTCACAAATGCTATTCACTTTGTTCTGGACTCCACACAAATCACCTAAATTAAGGAGCGCAAGGACACACAAGAGGGTGCCACATGTGACAAATAGGAACTTCATGTTGGTATATTTGAGGGTTATCTTTGACTGTGGCTAAGAAATTGTTCGACAAGTGTCAATGGAGTTTGACTTTATAGTCAGCAGCTATATTTTTTAACTCCATGAAAATAAAAAATCAACTCAAACAAATCAGAAGCAGCTTTAGGCCATTCAGTCTCTCGAGTCTGCTCCACCATTCAATAAGATCATGACTGATCTGATTGAAGCCTCAAACCTGCATTCCTGCTCTTCTATGATAAACTTTCATTCTCTTGTTTAACAAAAAAAACTACCTCAGCCTTAAAACTACTCAACAACTATGCTTCCACACCTTTTTGGGAAAAGAGCTCCAAAGACTCATGGCCTACTGAGAGAGAAACTAATGTCTAATTGCTGAATTGGGCCACCCCGAGGTTTTATGCAATGAAACCTAAATTCAAAGACATTGATTCCCCATCATTTGTAATCCCAAAATCAACTTTCACCTTCGAAACTTAAAGGAAATGCTGAAAAGATAGTGAAGCCCATGGAATTGCATGTCAGCAAGTGTCAGCAGTCTTCAGCTGATTTAGTATCTCTATCTTTTTTCAACTGTGATGTTTTGTAATCTACGTTTGGCCCTTGCCGGCTTTTGTTTTCCGTGACTCTTTCATGGGATGTGGACATTGCCGACAAGGATGGCATTTGTTGCCCTTCCAGGGGCAATTACAGAGGGCAGTTAAGAGTCAACTATATCTCTGTGGGTCTGGAATCACAGATAGGCCTGGTCAGGCAAAGATAGCTGATTACCTTCCCTGAAGGACATTAGTGAACCAGAAAACTTCTTACGGCGACCGACAATGGTTGTGGTCACTGTGAGTGAAACTAGCTTTGAATTTAAGATTTTGTTCATTTTCTTTGAATTTCACCTCCTGCCCAAGAATAGCAGCTGAAATAACTCCACAGAGGCCGGTATCCAGTCACCAAGTGACCCTTTATTCACACGTTGAAAGTCCTTGACACTGATCCAATGCCCTCAGCACAGCTTTTACAGTATCAAAATGTATGTGGAATGAACTGCCAGAGGAAGTGATATATGCAGGTACAGTCACAACATTTACAAGACATTAGGATAGGTACATGAATAGGAAAGGCTTGGAGGGATTTGGGCCAAATGCAGGCAAGTGGGACTAGCTTAGTTTGGGAAACTTGGTCAGCATGGAATAGTTGGACTGAAGGGTCTGTTTCTGTGCTGCATGTCTGACACTCCTGTTTATGTCTGTCAGCCAGGGCTCCCTGATTGGACCAGATTAACAGCTCCAATCAGGGAACTCATATTCTATGAGGTCCACCTGACTGACCTCATTACAATCACTACAGTAGCTTCTAGCATTAGCCCAGTAGTATTATCCTTACCTCAACATCCCCAGGTGTATAAAATCCTAATTTTCCAGAGTATATATTAGGATGTTTATTTCACATCTTGCATCTTTCGCAAGTGTTCTGATGTTCTGTTCCTAATTGATATCATAAATGCCATTGACCATCTTTTAAGGAAAGGCTAACTTATTCCACTTAAGAAAACTCTACTCCTGTTGTGATAGATCTTCTTCAAAAATGCCAGAGTATAGGACAAGTCAATCACCGAATCACAAAAGCTGGAGGAAAGGTGCTCTTTATGTTTGTTTTCTTGTTAATATGTCCTGTATTTCTGGGTTTTATCCAAGGATGGCATTTGAAGACTGGTATAAATACATCACCAATGTAATAGTTTGTCGAATGATAAACACCTCTTACCTGACTATTCGCAAGACATGGGATGAGGTGATACTCCGTGGGGCTTGGAGTAGATACGAAGACCCACTACTAAACCGTGCAGGGGGCTGTACGAATTTCCAGCACACATTCCTGCAAAATCCACAGGTGGGAATACTTGAAGAGCCCTGTTTTTGAAAGGTACAATATCGGAATATTTTGTATCTGTAGAACTGAGTGACTCTTCTGTGTAGGCTTTCTGGGGAACAGTGTAATAAAAGCTTGTGGATAATGTTGCAGGAATATCGGGAAATAGGAGGGGGAGTAGGCAATACAGCCCTTCGAGCCCACTGCACCATTTAACATGATCATAGCCAATCGTGTCCTGGTCTCAACTTCACTCTCCTGCCTGCTCCCCATAGCCCTTTATCCCACTTTTCATCAGGAACATATCTTTTTCTTTCTCAAATCTGTTGATTGATTGTGCCTCCACAGATTCACAACCCTCTGAGAAAAGTAGTTTCTCCTCATCTTAATTTTGAACCTACCTCCTCTCACTCTACACCCTCATGTTCAAGACTGCCCCACAAAGAGGAGCATCTGTTCAACATCCCACCTTATCAATCCCCTTTAAACACCAACTTTTCTCCCATGAGCTCAGGCTGATAAAATAAAGTAATCTCTAATTGTAATATGCAAAATGAAATAATTTGAAAAGTCTAAATGTTTTAAAATCTCAGAAAACAAACAGACCCTTATCTGAATTAATTGTCACAAAATTGACAATCTCAGTCAGATAAGGGCATGAGATAGTAGGAACTGCCGATGCTGGAGAATCAGAGATAACAAGGTGTAGAGCTGGATGAACACAGCAGGCCAAGCAGCATCAGAGGAGCAGGAAAGCTGACATTTCAGTCAAGACCCTTCTTCAGAAACGGGGGAGGGGAAGGGGTTCTGAAATAAATAGGGAGACAGGAGGAGGCGGATAGAAGATGGATAAAGGAGAAGATAGTTGGAGAGGAGACAGGTCAAAGAGGTGGGGTTGGAGCCAGTAAAGTTGAATGTAGGTGGGGAGTTAGGGAGGGGATAGGTCGGTCCAGGGAGGACGGACAGGTCAAGGGGGTGGGATGAGGTTAGTGGGTAGGAGATGGGGGTGGGGCTTGAGGTGGGAGGAATGGTTAGGGAGGCAGGGACGAGCTGGGCTGGTTTTGGGATGGGGTAGGGGGAGGGGAGATTTTGAAGCTTGTGAAGTCCACATTGATACCTTTGGGCTACAGGGTTCCCAAACGAAATATGAGATGCTGTTCCTGCAGCTTTCGGGTGGCATCATTGTGGCAATGCAGGAGGTCCAGGATGGACATGTCGTCCAAGGAGTGGAAGGGGGAGTTGAAATGGTTCGTGACTGGGAGGTGTAGTTGTTTGTTGCAAACCGAGCATAGGTGTTGTGCAAAGCGGTCCCCAAGCCTCCGCTTGGTTTCCCCGATGTAGAGGAGGCCACAACGGGAACAGCGGATACAGTATACCACATTAGCAGATGTGCAGGTGAACATCTGTTTGATGTGGAAAGTCTTCTTAGGGCCTGGTATGGGGGTGAGGGAGGAGGTGTAGGGGCAGGTGTAGGCACTTCCTGCGTTTGCAGGGAAAAGTGCCGGGTGTGGTGGCTGGAGGGAAGTGTGGAGTGGACAAGGGAGTCACGGAGAGAGTGGTCCCTCCGGAAAGCAGATAAGGGTGGGGAGGGAAAAATGTCTTTGGTGGTGGGGTCGGATTGCAGATGGCGGAAGTGTCGGAGGATGATGCGTTGGATTCGGAGGTTGGTAGGGTGGTACATGAGGACGGGGGGATTCTGGTTTGGTTGTTATTGCGGGTAGGGGGTGTGAGGGATGAGTTGCGGGAAACGTGAGAGACACGGTCGAGGGTATTTTCGACTACTGTGGAGGGGAAGTTGCAGTCCTTGAAAAACAAGGATATCTGGGATGTCCGGGAGTGGAATGCCTCATCTTGGGAGCAGATGCAGCGGAGGCAAAGGAATTGGGAATAGGGGATGGCCTTTTTGCAGGAAGATGGGTGTTATCTCAGATAAGGACATACTGATTTGAGTGGGCGATAGGAAATGTGACATGGGTAAGATAATGGCTGCTCTTCTGTTGTGGCTGGGAGGAATGCACTATTTTTCTCTCATCCCATTATTTTATGGGTCATCACATATTTAATTGTTTAACTCAGTTCCCAGTATGGGCAATCACATGTTTTCTTTACATTAGACTTAGAATAAAAAAACCCATCAACCAAGTTTCTTTAATAAACCACAATGAAGTTGTTATAAACAAAATTTACTCAATAAAGATGCAAAACTGGTTAATACAGGGTTAGTAATGTGAAAATGTAAATGTTCACTCCCCTAAATAACCCAAAACACACAAGCACTTACACTCATGGACCTACATAGCAGATAATGGGGAGAAAATAAATTTCTCTCTACAGAGGTTCACTTTTGGGAGAAAAAGAAATCACTTTTGGCCAAGGTTAGTTAGTTCTTGTTAGCAACAAGGATAAGATGTAAAATGTTTACGTGGTTGTTTATCTGGTTTTGTTTCTTGGGTATACAGACAGGTTACTAGACATGAGTATCCCCTTTAAACACAGCTTTCACTCCCCACGAGCTCAGACTGATAAAATAAAGTAATCTCTAATTGTAAACATGCAAAATGAAATAATTTGAAAAAAATCTAAAATGTTCTAATGGATAAAATCTCAGAATACAAACTGACCTTTACCTGAATGAATTGTCACTAAATTGACAATCTTAGTCAGATAAGGACATAGTTGAGTGGGAGATAGGAAATGTGACATGGGTAGTTGTTTATCGGGTCTTGCCAGTCACTGCTCATAGATTTTTAAAGGAGGCCATTTGACCATCATGCTTCTGATTCCAAACTAATTTCATATCAACTGCGTGAATGTAGTTTCCAGTGCCATTCCAATATCCCTGTTGCAAGCATTTCAGATTGATTCAGGCATGAAGCAGCCCACAGTACCTACAGGTGCATTGAAATTCATGAACCAGTTAGAGGCAAAGGTCCATATTTTTGCAGCCTCTTGTCTGGGCAAAAGAACACATCATGCCAACTGATTTGGGGGGTAGCAGAAATATTGGCACCATTGAATAGAATATAAGTGACAACTGAAAAAGGCTTTTCATTTCTCTTTGATGTAGTACGTATTTGATGTCACAAAGAAGGAGGATGAAGTGCTTATTTCTCTGCAGCAGAGAGACAAACGTATTCACAGGAAAGAAGGCAAAGGAAGTAATCTGACCATTGGTTTCAGTATCTTCAAGGCAAGAGAAATGTCTTTAACTCTCTTATACTTTGTGGAAACTGCCTGCAGTAAACACTTGGAATTTAATAAAGAGACACTCAGTGGGTGGTCATACTATGAAAGTTTCTCACTTCTTCTTTGAGATTTGTTTGTGCATGTTTTTTTGAATGTCAGTTATATTTCCCATCTTCTAAATGGCAGGATAATGTTTCATAGATGTCAACCAGTACTCATGTATAAACTTAAGTAGCATTTGTCAATAGACTGCTTGCTTTTGCCCTCACCAGGAGTTCATACAGGATAACTTTCCCTCAGATGATCACTAGATAACAAGCAGGAGTTAGAAATCTAAAAGGATTCTTTCCTCTTCTGGATGGTAATTGTAAACCCCTTAATTAGTCAAATGAATGCTGTTAAAATAAACGGGAGTAAGGATCAATCTTGATTTGGATAACAGAATCACATCGCTAAACTAATTGAAAGGGTGCAACAAGAAATTTTAGGAACACAGAAAGCCAGTTGGACCTAAAATTGCCTCTCTCTTTAGGAAAATAATAAAAGAAGTAGGTCATTTAACCCTTCAAACCTGCCCAATCATGACAATTATGGTTAGAACATAGAACATAGAACATAGAACAGTACAGCACAGTACAGGCCCTTCGGCCCACGATGTTGTGCCAAACTTTTACCCTTATCCTAAGGTCTATCCAACCTCCACCCCTACCTTATACTATCATCCATATGCCTATTTAATAGCCGCTTAAATGCCCCTAATGAGGCCAACTCCACTACCCTCTCCAGTAATGCATTCCACGCCCCGACCACTCTCTGAGTAAAGAACCTACCTCTGACGTCTCCCCTATATCTACCTCCACTCACTTTAAAACCATGCCCCCCATCTCCCACCCACCCTGACCAAGCCTATACACTTCATCAGCTAACTGGGCCACTTAAGCCCCTTTTACTCTGGCACCCTCCCCCCACCAACCCACCCTGGCATGCTCCGTGCCAGCACCCTGCCCCCCACCCACCTGGTACAGTACCATTCCAGAACCGGAACTCACACTTAACTAGTTACTAACCTTATTGCAGGAGCTGTCAAAGTGGCTGTCTGTAATTCTAGAATTATAAGTTACTAGAATATAGCTATTGACTGCTCTTAAAACTGAGACATGTTTACCTGCGCTCAGCTGTTGTGCATTACCAGGGACCTGTCAGAGGAAGTACAGCTTCCCTTTCTGAGGGAGCCCTGATCAGAACCTCCCTGTTGGAAATTCTGAGCCCTTATTTTTTAATGAAGGAGAGGAGTGGCAATCTGCATGGGATGGCCACTCCTTGGAAACTCCAGCCTAGGAGCTCAAGTACTCCTCCATGGTGAAGTGAAAGCAAACTGACAGAGCACAAAAGAGAAATATAACAGATAAACAACAGGAAATCTTTAACTCTGGGGTGCTGTAAGATTCATAAAAGAAAGCAGTCTATTTATCCTTTCTTTAGCTGTCAAACTCTGTGCTCATTTTTAGGTGGAACTCAACCGAGAGTATAGGTTGCACAGTTCACATCAGAAAGTGTCTGGGTCAACCTACATCAATACGCGAAGTGTTTCTCTGCGGACATGCCTGAGAAAAGGTCGTTACATCATCACCCCGACCACCTTTGAACCATACATCGAGGGTGATTTCCTTCTGAGGATCTATACGGACGTAGCCTCTAGGTGCAGGTAATCACCAGGAACCTGGAGATAACACATACTTGCCATAATAACTTATGAGAATCCTTTGTTTCCAAATTGCACATTCAGAATTTTTTTTCTACTTTAATGTTTGAACTAAGGCAGACATTTAGCCCACACAAAATAAGCAGGAATAAGGTAAATTAGAAATTTTACACACTGCACACCAATGGGTGCCACCAATCAAAACAGAACTCAAATTTAATCATACATGAATTCCTATCCAGCTCAGGAGGAAGCCATTTGGCCCACCTGGCGCTAGCTCGACACTCGGATCTCTTCCAGTCTTCTTTTCTACAGCACCACATTTACTTTTTGCCTCCTTCACCCACTCTGTTTGCCTGCTCTCAGCCTTGGACTCTTTAGCATAATTCACTGGATTTTTTAAACCCCTCTGTCCGACCAAGCTTAGCTTCCTTGAGGACAATCCATATTCTGTTTATCATCAGTCGTCTTTGAGAACCCATGACACTGACATAGTCTTGAATAATCATGTACAAGTCATGTAAATTTCCAATTGCAACCATTAACAATTTCTTGATTTTCACGTTGTATGTATTTGTGTTGTGGACTGATATGGAATTGTTGTTAGAGGCGATTTCTGTCACATGTCCCAAAGCAGGAATTTAGGCAACTAATTATCTCTTCTCCAATTGGAATAGAACAAAGAACAAAGAAAATTACAGCACAGGAACAGGTCCTTTGGCCCTCCAAGCCTGCGCCGATCCAGATCCTTTATCTAAACCTGTCACCTATTTTCCAAGGATCTGTATCCCTCTGCTCCCTGCCCGTTCATGTATCTGTCTAGATACATCTTAAATGATGCTATCGTGCCCGCCTCTACCACCTCCGCTGGCAACGCATTCCAGGCACCCACCACCCTCCGCATAAAGAACTTTCCACGCATATCTCCCTTAAACTTTTCCCCTTCTACCTTGAAATCGTGACCGCTAGTAATTGAGTCCCCTACTCTGGGGGAAAAACTTCTTTCTATCCACCCTGTCTATACCTCTCATGATTTTGTAGACCTCAATCAGGTCCCCCCTCAACCTCCGTCTTTCCAAGTAAATAATCCTAATCTACTCAACCTCTCTTCATAGCTAGCGCCCTCCATACCAGGCAATATCCTCTGCACCCTCTCCAAAGCATCCACATCCTTTTGGTAATGTGGCGACCAGAACCACTCTGTGTAAATAAGTTGCCTCTCATGTTCTTTTTAAAACTTTCTCCTCTCACCTTAAAGATATGCCCCCCAGTTTTGAACTCCCCCATCCTAGGGAATGCAGTGAAGCAGGTGACATTGAATATTTTTAAGACAGAAATGATCAATTTTTGGTGGGCAAAGAAATCAGACGTAGGCGGGAATGTAGAATTCAAAATGCAAACAGATTAGCCATGATCGTCTTGAATAGTAGAGCAGCCTCAAGGGGCAAAATGGCCTACTTCTGCTCCTCAAATCATATATTTATATGTTCTCAATCATTTCTGATAACTTACCATCCTTCATGCCTCCACACAGTCACCATCTTCAACCATTTAACTATCCCCATCCCCACCTTAGCACTGAGATTTGGAGATTCTATTTGAGACTGTTGGAGATGCCATAGCAGTATTTGCAACCTGGTTTAGAGTTTGGAAATTGCATGAGAACAGATGGAACACAATCAATGCTATATACAATGGGGTCCATTTTCACTTGTCCCACTAGTCAGGACACTGACAGGATTAGGAACAAATTGTTTTTACATCCAGCAGATTTTACTCTTCATTGAAGTCAAAGGGTAGTATTAATTATAGTGCTATAGTAATAGAGTCATACAGCATGGAAAAAGACCCTTTGGTCCAACTAGTCCACACTGATCATGTTCCCAAACTGAACTAGTCCCATCTGCCTGCATTTGGCCCATATCCCTTCAAATCTTTCCAATTCATGTACTTATCCAAAATGTCTTTTAAATGTTGTAACTGTACCCACATACACCACTTTCTCCGGCAGTTCATTCCACACACAAACCACTCTGTGTAAATAAGTTGCCTCTCATGTCCTTTTTAAAACTTTTGCCTCTCACCTTAAATATATGCCCCCCAGTTTTGAACTCCCCCATCCTAGGGAATAAAAAAACCTTTGCTATTCACCTTATCAATGCCCCTCATGATTTTATAAACCTCCATAAGGTCACCCCTCAACCTCCTACACTCCAGTGAAAAAAGTCCCAGTCTATTTTTTATAACTCAAAACCTCCATTCCCAGCAACATTCTGGTAAAATCTTTTCCAAACCCTCTCCATTTAATAACATCCTGCCTATAGCAGGGCGACCAGAACTGCACACAGTACCCTAGAAGAGGCCTCACCAAAGTTCTGTAGTCGAGGTTATAAATTAATATTCTGTCTGATCCTTTGGGTTCCCTACCTAGGAGTTTAGTTTAAAATTGTGTCACACTCTCAATGAGCTAGAGCTCTGGGTGAAGAAATTTCTCCTCATCTCAGTCCTGAAAAGTTTAACCCTTGCCTTTAAACTATGACCCCTTTGTCTGGACTCCCCCACCACTGGGAACGTCCTTCCTGCATCTAACCTGTCTAGTCCTGTTAGAATCTCAGAGGTTTCAATGAGATCCCCCCTCATTCTTCTCAATTCCAGTGAATACAATTCTAACCAACTCAAATCTCTACTCATACGTCAGTCCTACCATTCCAGGAATCAAATTTGGTAAACCTTCACTGCATTCTCTCTATAACAAAATACATCTTCCTCAGTTAAGGAGAGAAAAACTGCACACAATGTTCCAAGTGAGGCCTCATCAATGCCCTGTATAACTGCAACTAGATAGCCTTGTTCCTGTGCTCAGTCCTCTCACAATGAAGGCCAACATACAGTTTGCCTTCTTTACTGCATGCATGCCTGCTTTCAACTGGTGTACAAGGACACCCAGGTCTCGTTGGACAGTTCCCTCTCAATTTACAGCCATTCAAATAATAATCTGCCTTCTTATTTTGCTACCAAAGTGGATAACCTCACATTTATCCACATTACACTGCATATGCCATGCATTTGCCCATTCACTCAGCCTGTTCAAATCACACAACAACATCTCTGCATCCTCCTCACAGCTTTGTGTTATCTGCAAGTTTTGAGATATTACATTTATCTCCCTCATCTAAATCTCTAATACATTGTGAATAGCTATGGTACTAGTACCAACCCCAGTGACCCACTAATTACTACCTGCCATTCAGAAAAAGACCCATTAATTCCTACTCTTTCTTTCCTGTCTACTAACCAGTTTTCTATCCATCTCAATACACTATGTCCAACTCCCAAGCACTTTAAGTTTACACATTAATTTCTTATCATAGAATCCCCAAGTGTCAAATCCACACTAACCCTCCGAAGAACATCCCACCCTGACCCAATCTATCCCTGTAATCCTGCATTTCCAATGGCTAATCCTCCTAGCCTGCACATCCCTGGACACTAATGGCAATTCAGCATGGCCAATCCACCTAACCTGCACATCTTTGGACTGTGGGAGGAAACCAGAGCACCCACACACACCTGGGGGAAATATGCAAAACTCCACACAGTCACCCAAGGCTAGAATTCAAACCCATGTCCCTGGCATTGTGATGCTGTAGTGCTCGAGCCGTCGCGCCACCCCATGTGAAACTTTGTCAAAAGCCTTCTGAAAGTCCAAATAAACCACATCCACTGGTTCCCCTGATCAGCCCTCCTAGTTACATACTTGAAGAATTCCAGTAGATTTATCACTCATAAGTTTGCTTTTGTAAATCCATACTGACTGTGTCCGATTCCACCACTGTTTGAACATAGAACGTAGAACATAGAAAGTACAGCAAAGTACAGGCCCTTCAGCCCACAATGTTGTGCTGACCTATTATCCTACTAAGATCAATCTACCCTGCATACCCTACATTTTACTATCCTCCATGTGCCTGTCCAAGAGTCGCTTAAATGTCTCTAAAGTGTCTGACTCCATTACCACTGCCGGCAGCGCATTCCACACGCCCACCAATCTCTGTGAGAAGAACCTACCTCTGGCATTTCCATATAGCTTCCTCCAATCACCTTAAAATTATGCCCCCTCATAATAGTCATTTTTGCTAAATGCTCCGCTTTAAAATTCTTGATAATGGATTCTGGTATCTTCTCCACTACCAACGTCAGACTCACTGGTCTATAATTCCCTGTTTTCTCTCAACCTCCCTTTTAATTATTGGGTTACATAAGCTACCCCCACCCCCACCACCCATTTGTAGGAACTTCCAAGAATCTTGGAAGAGGACCTTATTGTGTACCACCAATACCTTATTGTGTAACTTCATTGTAAGCTTAAAACCTAGCTTTAACATTGAGAAGCCATGCTCAATTAATGTATACTAATGAGGAGATTAATGTGTCATACATGTCTGAATAAGTTTATTAAAAATATCTTTAACATTACATGTGACTGTCGAATGAAGGATCAAATTTCAGATTGGTATAGTTGTCAAGCACATGTATAAATTGTGGAAATACTCTCAGTTGAGTCAATAGATGACACTGCATTTGCTATTGCCTGATTTTACTGTTTTAATTCTGAATTGATACTACAGCACTCTGGCACCAGATTGTTAATTAGTTATTGAAGCAGAAAATAATAGATCAATCTACTGAAGTCATTACTTCTGAAAGAGATATTTAATGAATTGCACTGTTTTATTTGTATTTAGGTTTCTTTCATAATTTCATTAATGTTTCTAAGAATGGAGAAATTCCTGACGTTGTCTTTACATCTACCTTTACCTACAGCTGTTGTTTGCATTTATCTGCAACACTCTTGACATATACTGCAGGACTTGCTGCAGTAAAATTTTAGGCGTTTGCGAAATAATTTTAAATTCTTGCTTACACGCTTAATTAAATCTCATCCCTGACATATGAAGTAGCTGAATATTCTCCACGATTTGTCTAAACCAATGGATAGGCTAAACCAATGACTAGTCTGTTGGAGGCTGCAGTACACGCACATTCCTCCTGGTGGCGGTGGTAATAATTTTGACTTGGGTACAATGGCTCCACCAGCAGTCGCCGAGCAGTACTGCAGACATGTGTGCTGGGAATTTAATACTGTAGTACGAAGTTAAAGCATTTCACAGCAGTCAATTTCTTTTAAAGTGACATACTTTTGACATCTGAATAATATGAAAAATGATAGTTGCATTTTAATGTAATGTTACAATTTATGAAACTGTGCATTTAGAATCATAGAATAGTGAAACGCATAAGGCCATTTGATCCATTGGGTCTGTGCCAGCTATTCCAAAGAACAATCTGGTTAGTCCCACCTCACAGTACTTTACCCATATCCCAACATTTCTTTGATTCCTTCCAGTATTTATCTAGTTCACCTTTGGCAAATATTCTACTTTGACTTTTTAAAATGTGGGTGTCACTGGCATCACTCATATCTGCTGCCTCTCCTTGTTGCCCTTGAACTCAGTGACTTTCTCAGCTAATACAGGGGGCAGTTAAGAGTCAGCCACACTGCTGTGGGTTTGGAGTCACTTGTGGGTTCAGACCAGATAAGAACAGCACATTTCCTTTTCTAAGGTTTTGGAGTAGATTTGTCGCTCGGGTTGTGGATGCTGTGGTTGGTTGGCTCGCCGAGCTGGTTCGTTGTTCCGCAGACGTTTCATTACCCCGCTGGGTAACATCATCAGTGCAAACTCCGATGAAAGGCTGTTGTGTTTTCCTGCCTGGTATTTAAACTCTGGTGTACCTCACTTCTAGTTTTCCTTCGCAGTGGGGTGTAAATGGGGTCGAGCTTGTGGGTTGTTGATCAACCTGCATGGATGCCTCAGGAACCAGGTATTACCATGCAGTGTGAAATACAAACCCCTCATCAACAACCCACAAGCTTGAACCCAATACACTCCATTGCGAAGGAAGTCCAGAAGTGAGGTAATCCAGCTCAACGGACACCAGAGTTTAAATACTAGGTGGGAAAACACAACGGCGCTTCATCGGAGGCTGCACTGATGATGTTACCCAGCAGAGTAATGAAACGTCTGCTGAACAACGAACCAGCTCGGCGAACCAACCAACCACAACATTTCCTTTTCTAATGGGCATTAATGAACCTTTTCTTAACAACAATTGTAGTGTTTAATTCCAGATTTTATTAAATTTGATGTTCACCATCTGTCATGGTGAGATTCGAACCCATGTCCCCAGAATATTAACCTGGATCCAGTGACATTACCTTATTATGGTAATATGGTGATTACGTTACCACCTCATCAATGTTACTCAGATGTCAACTGTGTTTGGTTCAATTTCTCTACATTTCTATATGTTCTGCTTTCCTGTTGTGATTCTTATAAAACCTGATGAGAACACTTGTCTGCTTCTATTGCAATGGATTGGGTGCAATAAGAAAGCTAAGGCTGTAGCAATCCTGTCAAAAAGCATCCGATCCTTAATACAAGAATCAAAAACATTGCAAAATTTAGCCTCAAATTTCTTGTTCTTGTGATTTGTTCTGTCTAATCTCCAATTAATTTTCTAAATCATAGTAAACACTCAGCAAGGCTTGTCAATAAAGCTTTACTAATACTGACAGGATGCAGGGAATTCCAGTTGTGTAAATACTGTTTCTCCAAAGTTTGTTTTGTTTATATTTTATTGATTTCGTTGGTTTTAAATATGCACAATATAATTGCTCCTTTCTGTGTTGTTCATCTCAACAGCCATCATTCATTTACTGTCTGTGCCCTCTCCCTATATCTCATTTCTGAAGAAGGGTCACTGAACCCAAAATATTAACTCTGATTTCTCTCCACAGATGCTGCCAGACCTGCTGACTTTTTCCAGCAATTTCCGTTTTTGTTTCTCATTTTCTTTCGATCTGTTTGAGTAATCATTTAATATCCAATTCTCTTTCTCTCATCCTTTAGAAATCATTCATTAGCAATGCACTATTTGGGAGATGGGTATTTGGAAAGTTTACAATGAACATGCTCCATAATAAGAGTTTGACATAGGTGGAATATTCTGAGGCAGTTCAATTGTAGTAATGATCTGCACTGTAAATATAAATAGTCTAAGTTGCCTCAGCTATCTAGTGCTCATCATAAGACAGTGATAGATTTGCATTAGTTGTAAACTAATTTCCCCTTGGCGAACCTTAGCCTAAACAGAACACTGAAATAAAAGTGACTTTAATAATATTATTGTCCCCGGGAGATCAATCAAGTTAAAATGAGGGGTTGTTTTCATTGACATTCTAACAGTTATCTACTGACCTATTAATATCCTAGTGCTGTGTCATTCCATTGTTGCTACACCTGAATGTAAGATTGCAGAATGCTTGATCCTCAAAGTGGTGTTGTGTGATGCTGTCATGGTGCCAAATGACAGCTACAAGAAGTTAGGAAGGCTCATTGCCAAACTTTACAATTTTATTTATTTACTCTTGTGCAATCTTTCAATTGGGCTGTGGGAATAAATGCTAATAAACACATATCCTCATCCAGTCTTCGACATCTGAACTATCAGAGGAGTTGCTCCGTTAATCTACAGTTGAGATTGTGGCCCTGATTTCTGTTCCTAGGTTGGGTGTGTGAGCTCTGTAAACCCAACTTTTTAACACAACCTATTTTCAGGTTGGATTTGAGGTCAGGCTGGGTGACCAGTGAAGACCCAAGGCAGATGCCCATTGCAGAGGCAGGATGGGTGGAAAGTCAGCATCAGGAGACCAGCGCTGTGTCCTATGTTTAAAATAAAGATTAACACATAGTCTTCATCCCTACACACTCCCATGTCCCATAAATGCCAACCCATATCCTATGCCCACCTCTCCAGGGCTCACCATAACCGTCATGACAGCCTATATCCCTGAACATTCCTCTGGCCCGTTATTGCCCCATGTCAACTTAATACCATCTCCAGTCGATCCATGTCTCCCACTCATCACCCTTTGCCCTTTCACCTACCATGCCATCTCACTTAATATCCACTTTAGCAGATCTCAGGACCTATACACAGACGGGTAAAAATAAAATTCTTTTAGATAAAGTACTTTTCAGACTTTGTTATATTGAGAAAAAAAACCACCTTCCTAAAAAACAGCACATTTACAATATTTAAATTCCATCACTTCAATAAAGCTTATTAAAAAATTCACATAAATGCAACACTGGAATTCATAATCCCACATCAAAGAACCTAAAGCTGTCAATCAAACTGTAAAATGCAAAGCACCTCACTATTGGAACCTTGTGAAATCAGTAATGCTGCATTATACATGTAATGGAAATTATCAGGTCTATATCAACGGGCAGAGTGAAGTAGAAAGCTATCTTTTTTTAACATTTCAGACCGATTTTCAAAGATGTAAAGGCCGAAGGTTTTAAATGATCATTTGACAATGTTGCCAGGTCCTCCTGACAGTCTTGGCAAGACCCTTAGACAGTCCTAACCGTTGTTTGACAGCTCCAATGAGTTTATGTACTTTTTACTGCTCTAGTCTAATCTGCACATTTTGGATTTTAGACACTTCCCTCACCAGGATCACACAGGAATTTATGATGTACATAATAAATCACTTACATACTAAATCACGCATTTTAATCCAGAACCAATTCCACTCCCATCTCCACAAAAATGGAACATGCCATTTTTGAGGCTGGTACTTGTAATTTCAAGCAACTTCTGCCGTTTTCACTATATGGTGGCTCTCTATCCTACCGAAAATCTAGCCCTGTCTTTAACTAGATAGGATAGCAAACCAGCAACTGCATTTTCCCATCTTGAAATGGAAAGGAACAGAGGCAGGATACGAGCTAGCTGAAATAGATAGGGAGAAGTAGTTCCTGCTTTGTAAAAGCAAAAAAAAAAATGAGAGGACATAGATTTAAGATGATCTGCAAAATAAGCAAAGATGATGTGAGAAAAAACTTTTTCAGGATATGAGGATTTGGAACGCACTGCTTGGAAATGCAGTGGAGGCAGGTTCAGTTGAGAGGGTATTGGATGATTGTTTGGATAGAGTTGATGTGCAAAAATATGTGGAAAAGGCAGGAGATTGGCACTGGAAACTCGAACCTGTGAAGGCACAATGGGCCGAGTGGCCTCCTTCTTCACTGTAACAATTGAGATTCTGTGACCAAAGAAATATAATGTTGCCAGGTTAGACTGTGGGAATCCCACCTCCATTCCTAATTATGCTCAGGATGGCAAGTGGATGACAAAGTGAATGCCGCTACCATGTTAATTGGGTGTGTCGAGATCAATAGAGAGCTCACAAACAGATTGCTTTCTGACTTCCTGAGATTTCCTAGGGACTAGACAGCTGTTAGCAGTTCCATGAAGCTGACCAGCTCCAGCAGCAAAGAAATTTTAATAACCAACTGTTTCTTATCCTATCCAGGGTCCCAATTCTCCAATTGCTTGTCATTTTGATGATCAGAATCCTCTTGCTTTTTAAGACCATGCAATAGGTGCTGATGTGAGACTGAACGTAGCCTGTTTCACTGTTGTCCCATCCCCTTTTCACCAATCAGACTGTAGGATCATTAAAACCCTGACTGTATGAAAACCCTGTCCCCCAGCAGCAGGAATTACTTGGTTTTTGACCCTCTCTAGCAGTCAGCTGTGCTGTAACACAAAGTCTGAGTCGTTTATTTATTTCGGTTGTTCCATGTTAGAACCGCTCATATGCTAAAATTTCAGTGAATTAGGCCAACCCTGATGGGATTTAAATCTTCACTAATTGAATTAACAGAATAGATTACACTATGTAGTCAGTCTATCATCTGTTACTGAAGAACTTGAAGATGACCCTGCACAGGTGACTCTGCAGAGAAAAACAGCAATGTGCTCTACTGTGAACGCAACGTAGCCATGTTCTTGATAACACTTTCCATTCTGTCCTGACCTTTAACCCTAGGGAGCTGACCCTTGACAAGCCACAGGTGACATGTTGGAATATTATTATTCGTTACCCACGGATTGTTACCCTGGTCCAGCTTCACAGTGCAACAGACCTGCCAAAGCAGAATTCCTCTGGAGGTATGTCCAGTGAATTTCATGCTTGTGTAGACATAACTTGACATGATCTTGAAGACCTTGCATCCATGGATTGACTCTGCACTTCTGGCAATACTTAACAACATCAGCCCAGCACTTGATGAACATGGATGGCGGGCAGCACAAAAACACTTATAAATTTGGTACAAGTTGGCAGTAAAATTATTAGCCTCATTCAAAAAAGGGTATAGGACAATTACTGTAGGAAATGAAAAATATCATTGTGGTGTTCTTCTGAAGTTGGGATTAAACTGTTTTATAGAAGCAAGGTAGGGATTATTTCATCTGGTTATAACCAAGTCGAAACTGATCTTGAATGCCTGAAACAGGAATTGGTATTTTATAGTGTAGATTCCAGACTGAGCAGGCCTGTACCTTTAAGACAGCTACATGACACATAACTTGCGTGCATTCTGGTATAAATGCACCTGCCACACCTTCAGTCACTTTGCAAAATGGCATCAGTATAGTCCGTCATCTATGTGTATATAAGGTACAGTAACATCAGGAAACACAGACCCAGTCTACATGTGTAGGTCTGCATTATTATAGCCATGTACATAGTTAGTGTTTCTAATAAACGTCAACACATCTCTCTCAATGTGAATCCACTCTCTTTGGTAGTGTTATGTGGACTAACATATAGAAAACCACAAAACACATCAGGAACGACCCCAGCACTAACATCATTTATCTTTAGGAGAATCAAAATGCCCCAAAACCTTTATTTAAACAGGGCAGTATCGTTGTTACACTTTTCATTCAGTGCTAGATATTTCCTCAGGTTTGATGTCCCCAGTTTCCCACTGAAGCAAATCCTGCACGCTTAATATTTCATTCCACCAGGCCACGTCTGGAGCCTGAAAGAATGAAGCTCTTTTTCTATGAACTGGGTCCTACACTCATATATATCCCACAACATGTTAATATTCAATCTTTGAAAAGAGATCTGATGGATATTTATTAATGAGACCATGCTGATTATAAAGCTACTATCTTGTCTAACAACTAGAACATAATTGAATAAATCTCACATCACTTTATTTCTACACCACCCTCTGTAACAGTAAATAACAAATTTCACTGGAATAACTTATTTGTGGGCTCACTGCATTTCCTTCATCGGAAGACAGTTTGAAATTGGTCTGCCTGGAAGTTTAGGAGACTCTGCTCACTCTCTATATGGTGTTAAAAAAATTCTGGATTTACATTAGACCTTCTCCAATTCTCACTATTGAGATATATACCCAATAAACTGTCAATCCAACTAGCTGTGTCTCTTAAGTGAGAGCTCATCAAACTCATCCTTCTGGAAAAAGCATTCTAACATACAGCATTTTCTGGAATTTTGTTTGTAATTCTAATGGGTTATGAGCTTGTATTTGTTGCTAATACCTAATTGCTTTTGAATAGAGTGGCTTGCCAGATCATTTCAAAGAGCGGTTAAAAGTCAACCAAATTGCTGTGGACCTGGAGTCTCATGTAGGTCAGACTAAATAAGGATGACAGATTTGCTTCCCAAAAGGACATTAGTGAACCAGATGGGCTTTTAAGACAACTGATGATAGTTTCAAAGTCACCATTTTATTAAGACAAGTTGTCGATTCATTTTTTTTCCCCACTTATTAAATTTAAATTCCATCAGTGCCTGTGGGCTATGTCAACTATTATATTTCCAGAACATTAGTCTAAGCATCTTGATTACTACCCAAGTGACACTACCACTACCCCACCATCTCCATTAAGTCTAACACGTTTTATTGTTCCAAGTAATCTAGTCAGATAGGTTGTCTGAATCAACTTTTCCCAGAAACTGGGTGTCTTAAATGTAATATCCTATTAGCTAGTTTTGACACCTAATAATTTTAACCTAAGCAAGCAGTCAGAGATCCCAAGGCATGACAATTATACATCTTGATTAAACCTGTTGAATCTTGGAATGCAAGTTGAAAAACAATTAGTAATTTTGTTCTTTTGGTATTCACTCTTCTCTTTTCATAATAATTCAACAATATGTCTTTATTTTACTGTGCAAGTTTATTTAACATATTTCTTGTAAGAGGGTGTAAAACATAATTAGATCAATTTCTTGGCATATTACAGGAGCAGATCCATATGCAGTTTTCAAATGCGAATATCACAAAATCTCTACAGCTATTTTTGAAGACACGCTGAATCCTCAATTTGACACCAAAGCTATTTTTTACAGGAGAAACCCCAAGCTTCCAATAATCATTCAGGTAAGCTGCCAGTCACTGTTGAAGATCAATAGTTAGATACATGGTGAACAAATAATTCTGAGGTTGACTGAGTTCTAAGACTGCTTCTCAGGGTATGATTAGATAATCCAAAGTTTTTAGGCTAAACCATTGCTTGGTTCAATGAAATATATTTAATGTACTTTTATTGTAATAACAAATAGCAACTCTGACTAAACCCATGGCACTGTCATCCATTGTACTTCCCTACCTCAGAGTCATGTAGCGAACATCAGATAGCTCAGCATGAACTAAGAATTAAATCTGGAATCAGTTTGATGTGCATAGCTCAGATACTCATTGGATAAATTCCCTGCCACATCAGGCAATCCTTATTCTGACAAATTAGGGAATTGACAAAAGACATAGAATAATAGTCATGTGGGATTTCAATACCTCAATAGTAGTTGAACAAAAGAAGATTGCTAAAGGGAATACGAATAAAGTTCCTAAAAACGTGCACAAGATTCCTATTCAACCCATTATATGAAAAACCCAATGCAGGAAGATTCTCAATTGTATCCAGAAGTAGGGAATGGACCAGAACAGTTTAGTAACAGAATAGCTAGGTAATACTGATCATAGTAAAATTTCTCTAAGATAATAGAAAAGAACATAAATATGGTGAAAACTAAATTAGTATATTGGAGAAAAGTTGATTTTGAGGATCTGAGAATATAACTTGGAAAAATAAAATGAAAAAGTATATCAATTGATGAGAAAAACATCCAAAATGATGTTTAACAGGGTGTAAGAAAAATATATTCTGCTAACTAAACACTAGTGAACCCGATGGATGAACACGAGAGGCAAACTGACAAAAATACAAACGAGAAGGGGTACAATGGTAGATTTAGGTCAGAAAAGATAGATGTAGGCTAAAGTAGAGTATAAAAAAAACGTATGAATTGATTGGGCTGAATTAACTATTTCCAGGCCGTATATCAGATGTAATCCTTTGTACTCTTTAATTGTTTAGACGTGGCAATGAAACGTAAATATAAATAGAAAATGCTGGAGAAACTCAGGAGCTGTAGCAACATCTGTGGAGAGAGAAACAAAGTTAATATTACATGACTACTCTTTGGAACAGGTTGGAAATATAAATTCTGAAAGCCATGAGGAAAACTGTTAAACCCTAATAAGTCAGTCTTTTGATACAGTGTTGTTAGGATTGATAGGAGTTATAGCATACAATTCATGAACAGGTTATCAGTTTCCTGAGATTCTAACAGTTACTGATGAAGCAAACAAAACTTGAGTTAGATTTCCAAGTATGTGTGATTTCTCTTCCTGCACCCCTTGTTAGGACCAACTGTAGATTTATTCCTGTTTATTCCACGTTCATCAAACTGTGCAGATGATAATATTCTCAGCAGCCTCTCTATTCCATGCACAAATCAAGCATGACAACTCCTTCAGTATCTTTTTCAAGAATCACTATGCAATAGCACAGTATTGATTCACTTTCCACATCCTTCACGGTGAAACAGATGCAAAAGATGGAATAAAAATCTTAATTTGATCACTAAGTGAAAAAAAATTACTCTTCTGTTCACAGATCTGGAACAGCAACAAAGTGTGTGATACATTAATTGGTGAGGTGACCCTTGAAGAATCCCAAGATAACTCTAGCAGACAGCAGATCCTTCAACTTCAGACAAAGGACAGACAGGAAAGTGAAATGCCAAGCTACATCACCATCACTGTCACCAGTAGCAACAACCTTGCAGCATTTTGAAAATGAAGAATGTCAAAATAACATCGCTGCAAAGGAGAGTTTCATCCACTTCCTTTTGTTTGTTTGTAACAGAGTTTGAAGATTTGGAGAGGCCTGCAACATGAAGGAATCTGTTGGCATACTTTTCCCATTCTCTCCCCAATGCCTATCCCAAAAACAAAAGAATTCCAAATTTAGTCCAGTTTAAGAGAATAAGTATCAATATTAATTATTTTGTGATAGCAGTGACCAACATTTTACTCTTTATATTACAATCAGTTTGTAATTTTAATTAGTTCAAACAGCTGAGAATTTGATAGAATGTGCCTGTACAAATAGGAATGATTGTGAAAGACACATATCAACATTTCCTTTAAAAAATCATTATTTCTGATTTTTTTTGTAAATTACATCTTATCTCCCAAAAGAGATTAACAATCTTATTCCCAAACTGACTTATTATGTGTTATAAATGTGTTAAACATTTGAGTCAACTGTACCTTCTAACATTTTGGATTTTGTTTCTAGTGACACCTCTCATCTAATTTGATGGAGAATCTTAATGTTAATAGGAGTTGATTCACACTGCTCTATTTATAACCATCAAGTGCATTAGCATTTCATCCAAGTTGGATACCGTGTCTTTGATTTGGATGCTTTTCAAACACAGAATAAACAAGCGTCTAATGGGAAAGTCACAATTCACCATAAGGAACAATGAACAGAATTTATGATTGGACTTATATTAATCAAAATCTTCATATAGTGCACAAATGGTGGCAGGAAAGTACAGACCACAATCAGATCAGTCACAATCTTATCAAAAAGTGGGGCAGATCTGAAGGCCAAATAATCTATTCCTGCTCCTAATTTGTATGCTTGGATAATAATACAAAATAAGGAGCATAGAAAATACTTTGATGAAGAATAAAAGGTAAGATTTTCAAATTTGCTGATGACACAATGGATAGGTTAAGTGAGTGCAGAAAGACATGGTAAATGGAGTATAATGTAGGAAAATGTGAAATTGACCATCTTGACGCAAAGAATAAAGAGAAGATATTATTTAAATGTTGACAGATTGCAGAACCTTGACTTGAGGTAAATCTGGGTGTCCCAGTAAATTCCAAAAGGTTGGTATACAGGTAGGACAAGCAATTAGGAAAGCTAATAGAATTTATCACAAGGGGAACTGAATACAAAGTAGGGAGGTTATGCTTCAGTTATACAGGGGGTTGCTGGAGTACTGTACACAGTATTGCTCACCTAATTTAAGGAAGGATGAGAATATGTTAGAATTAGTTCAGAGAAGATTACCAGGCTAATGCCTGGAATGAGTGGGTTAACTTGTATGGTACGGTTAGATAGGATAGGCTTGTACAAATTGCAGTTTTGAAAAGTAAGACGTAACTTGACTCAAACATAAAAGATTTGGTGGAGGAGACTTGGCAGGGTAGATGTGGAGAGGATGTTTCCTCTTATGGAAACATAGAACTAGGGGTCAGCATTCTCATTAATTTTGTTTCCATCTAAATAGACTGTCATGGTCCATAAGTGGCAGTCACTTTCATCCCAGCATTGATCTCCGTGGCACACCATTCATTATATCTTGCCAACTTGAAAAAGACCCATTTATGCCAACTCTGGTTCTTGTTAGCCAGTAAGCCTGTGATCCCAACTATCATGAGTTTTTATTTTCCCCAATAACTTTTAATCTGGCACTTTTTCAAATGCCTTCTGGGTATACAGTACATGCATCAGTTCCCCCATATCTATGACAAAGTGTTACCTCATCAAAGCACTCCAACAGATTTGTCAAATATGTCTTGCCTTTCACAAAACCATCTTGACTCTGCCCAATTACACTGAAAACCAAATGTCCTGCTACAAAGTCTTTAATCATAACTTCTAACATCTTCCATATGACAGATATTAGTCTTATGGGCCTGTAATTTCCTGCTTTCCATCTCCCTCCTTTTTTTGAATAGAAGTATTATATTTGCTACCTTCCAATGGGACTGTCTCTGCATTAAGAAAGTTTTTGAAAAAAAAAACCATGCATCAACTATCTCACTAGCCACATCTTTTAAGACGCATGGATGAGGTCCATTGAGATGGAAGCACTTGTCAGCCCACTGCTCCATTGATATGCTGAATTGTGAATTTTTCTGACTCCCTCTGTCTCTTCCATTTATAGATTTATCACTGCTTCTGGAATATTACTTATATCTTCTTATATATTGCTTACTTAATGAACATAGAAATAAAATAACTTTTTAAATCACCTGCCATCTCCTTATTTTCTATTACTAATTCTTCAGATTTAGATTCTATTGGATGAACATTTGTTTTAACTCTCTTTTTAAAAATATCTATAGAAACTTAGTATTTTTATATTTATGGATAGCTTTCTTTCATACTCTTATTTTCCCCTGCTAAATTAATTTTTTGGTCAATTGAGTTTCTGGGGACATGTAGGATGCTGCTGATGGGTTTCAGTGGAAGTAATGCCGCTGAATGTCTAGGACAGGCAGTCAGTTTCTCCCTTGTTGGAGATGATCATTGCCTGGCACTTGTAAGGCACAATATTAATTGTTATTTTCTTTCTATATCCTTTATAATACATTGATATCAAAGTATGTTTGAAAGTACTTTATTTTCAAATGCAAGTATTGAAGATTATAACTAGTTACTTATAGATAGATGGTTTGCATTTTATCTGTTGTGACACACGAAGAAATCTTGTTTAAAGCTTTGGAGATGAACAAGGCTGTAAAGGTTATCTATTGGATCTATTTACTAGAATATATTAACATGTAAGCATTTACTTTTAGCTTTGTAATAGATCTTAGGCACCTTATTTGTTTTAGAAGAAAAGCATTCAAACTGATGAATTAATGAAACATTAATCAATTAATGAATCAATCAAACAGAAAATATAAGGAAGCATCACAACTTAGTCCACAAAATCACATTGTAGTGATTTCAAATATTTAGTTAATTCTTACACCCTTAACATAATAAACGTTTAGGGTCAAGTGAAAATTAACGTATCACAATTCACAGAAAAGGAGAATAATTTTATTTTTTATATTGAAATATATGGACTTTAGTTAACCATTTGGAACAGCAATAATGACCCATCCATTTCAATGAATTATAGCGTGTTCTGTAAAGGCATTGAGTGAGAAGAATTGACAAAAGAAATGGAAGACAGCTTCAAGCTAACTACATGAATGTTTTTATTGATATGACATTTTAAACGCCCTAAGCTGTCTGACAAATCACTTGTGGACATTATTATTTGCATCATTTTGACAAGGTACAAATGTTTGAAGATGTTGTGCTCCTGCAGGACTCCCTTCAATGAAAACTTGAAGGTATTCAGTCTGGGAACTTAGCCGCAGGATGCCTTAGAGGAGAGGTCAGCCATACAGTCAGCCATCACATTCGGTTAAACTGATTGATAATAAGAGGTTTCCCAATCTGGTTTAGACCTTTTCATGGACACATTTTCTGCTAAACGCCACAAAATTAAAACTCATATCACTTAGAATGCACCAATTTGTAAGCTGAGAAAATTAAAATGGAACCAGAGTAGACCACTTTAATGCAAAAATAGCAATTACAACATTGATACATTTAAAATGCAAACATTTTTTGTTATATTTTTTGGGCTAGAAATCAGAAGGCCCTGTTTGTGGAGGCAGAGGTTACAATTTACAACCTTCCCGCACCCATTAGAAAAAGTGAGTAAGAGTCACCACTATTCTCTCTCTCCTAAGGAAAGCCAAATGGTTGTGATGATTTTATCCTAAGGGTCACCACATCACCTTTCATGCTCATAACACCACCAACTTCTCACACTGTTCAATCCACCACAACTCCATCACTTACTCAGCAACACTCAGGACTCACGTGTAATATTCACACATTCCTCACCCTCACACACCTAGCAGTGCTTTTAGCATCACATGCTCATCTAATCACCTCAGCAGGGATTTACAATGGCAGGTGCATCATCCAATCATAGTGCCACACAATTCAATGACAGTTTTTCCTCTCTCTTGCAGAGGAGGGCTATACACAGCACAAGAAAGTTGGAGAACTGGACAGGCCCTACACAACTCCAACCCCAGAATTTCCAGGGTGGCAATGCTCCAGATAATGTACCTGACACACTGTCACTTGTGAGCTATTGTCCTGGAGGCACAGGTCACAGATAAATCCCGCTGTAGGGGATTTGGGTGAAACTTTGATGGGGCAGCATGTAGGAGGATGCTGATCAACACGCATACTGAGATTTGAGGACATTGGCGGGCTGGAACTACACTCTCCTGTTGATGTCTAGCAGCACTGGCTTCATGACAGAAGGCAATGCAGTTTGGAGCCCATGCAATCCAATGTGAAGGTGGTGGTGAACATTCTGAAAACACTGGCAGATCCAGCCACAGTGCTGACTCTCATAAATACTGTCTCCATTTTCTCTGAAGCACAGATGATGCCCATCCTCCTAACATCACAGTGCTGCAGTGGCAGCTCAGATGAGGGCTTTGGGATTAGAATCATATTATAGAGATAGTAGGAACTGCCGATGCTGGAGAATCTGAGATAACAAGGTGTAGAGCTGGATGAACACAGCAGGCCAAGCAGCATCAGATCACCCTTCAGCCTCCTACATTCTGGGGGAAAGAAGTCCTAGCTATCCATCTCTCCTTTCCAGTCTTGGTAACATCCTTGAAAATTTTTTTTGTTTTGGACCCTTTCCAGTTTAACATCATTCCTATAGCAGAGTGACCAGAATTGTACAGAGCACTGCAAAACGTGGCCTGCTCTCTCAGGGTGACAGTATTCATGCTCCAATGCTATTACTTTACCAGTGAACATGCCATTCTTTTCAACTAGCTAGTATAGAGTTCTACCATTCATGCCAAAGTAGTGCAGTCTAACCTTGTGCCTGTAATATCCAAATATCTTCCTCACTAAAAGTCAGCTTCGTTCCATCAGCCATGGTGCTGCCGAGTGTGTAGAGCACTAGGACAGACAAAAGCATCTACAAGCGAGGCATTAAGAGAATGCACAATAGGGAATTGTTGTTTCAAGAATTGCATGTGTTGCTGTATAAAGATATTTTGTGAAAGTTTTTGATGATTTTGTTCTAGAATTTTGACCAAGGAAACATTGCAATGTGACAGGGGAGGAAGGTGGGTCCATGCTGGGATAGGAAGATTGAAGTGCAAGTAAACCATTACCATTTGCTCACACACCATCCATCTACTTATATAAGGTGTTGGATATCTTGCATCCACTTCCTCCTTTTCTCCTCACAGAGCTATCCCTCTGAGCTCATCTTCCATTTTATGGTCATGTGGTAGACTAGGAAGAACTGCACCAAATGCTCCCATAACCAAATCAGCTGGTCTTTTCTTCTTAGCCATATTCATAAGCTGCCAATTAAAAATCCCAAGGACCCCAAATACCTAAACCAATATGTCTGAAGTGAAAGTCATTGAACAACAGCGGCCCGAGAATGTGCAAAGGCTCAGGGTTTAATTGCTGTTTGCCCAGTGTTGTCCAAATTTGGGATTCTGGCATCAAGTCAGATGTTTGGGGGCAGGATTTTCCAGCAGTTTTTGGGAACCCCTATATCGCGGCTAAATAGTAATCCTGGTTCTGAGCCCTCAGTTTTAGGCAGACAGCGCAGGGAAGCTGTGTTCCTGGCTATCTCTGTTCAATTATATATACAGCACCAAGACTGGCAGACCAGCTGAGAGGTGAGTGGTGCTGAGGCAGGTAGGTAATCACAAAGGTTTCTCAACTTGAAGGCTCCTGGGAGGCACACAAATAATTAACATAATTCCTTCATAAAAATCGGCAAAATGTACTTTTGAAAACAAAAATTGCTCAGAGGACCAGGCTTACTGGGCCAACTGAAGCATGACACCCCGGGTCTGGGCCTTCCCACTGCCACTCCCATCCTTTAAGGGATAGGGGAAAATGAAGAGAGCGAGGACTGCCTACAGAGAGGGAGTCTCCATCGGAGCCCATCCAGAGACATGGACAAGGGGGACACTGTTCTGCCCTGTCGCTGGGCAAGTCACCAGCAAAGCTCAGAAAATGACTTGTAGAATCATACAATCCCTATGGTGCAGATAGAGGCCATTCGTTCCACCAAGTCTGAACCAACCCTTCCAACAGCATCCCAGCCAGCCCCAGACCCGCACCCTATTCCCTTGACCCTGCATTTCCCGTGGCAAATCCATCTAGCCAACACATCCCTGGACAACAAGGTGCAGGGCTGGATGAACACAGCAGGCCAAGCAGCATC